GGCTGGGGAATTCTGGGAGTTGAAGTCCCACTCATCTGGGAGTTGAAGTCCACTCATCCAACTGGGAGTTGAAGTCCACTCATCTTAAAATGGCCAAGTTTGGACATCACTGACATATAAGATATATAAGGGGATGGAATTCTGAGACTTGAAAATGCCATCTTCTCATGGGCTAGAGAAATCATGTTGTTGAATACATCCTATATAAATAATTCCTGAAACTTTAAAAAACAAGACCATCAGAGAAAATTATCTATACCATTCTTTTCCTTTCAGTGCTCTCTCAAAATCATTCCTGCTATCCCATTTCTGACCCCAGTTTTCAATGATTATATACCAAAGTCACATCTAGTGTGGATTTAGTCAAATGAGAGTCTCTGCCATGCCTTTCCTCCCTCATCCTACTTGCTTATTTCTGACCCACCTAAAACCTGGAGCTGGAATTACATTTTCAAAAAAGAGTCAGTCATGAAAATGTATGTTCACTTGTCTCAGAAAAAAGTAGTGTGATTTGCACTTTTTAAACAACGATCCTGGACAATTTACATTAAGAATTATACAATGTATGGAAGGAGGTATGTAAAACATCAGCATATTTTAAAAATAATGTTTTCTACTTTTCTACATTTTTTTAACTACAGAAAAGTCAGAATACTGAATTTTAGAGATCTAAGTAAGCCATAATTTGGCATCTCAACTACCACATGACCACCTCATTTTGCTGAATGTGTTAGCCAGACCCAAAAGCTTTTTGTGCAGAAGGTCACTATTACATATTCCTATCCTTAAAAGAACACATGAATTATAGAAAAATAACACAAAGGTATGATGATGGTCATTATGATGATAACAATAAACAAATCCCAAGCTTTTCCCACAAAACTTTTCCATAGAATTCACAGTAATTTACAGAAGACAGCGGCTAATTTTTAGACACAGCCACTGTCTGTTGTGTGATTGTTTGCTCACTGTGACCTTGATTGAGAGCTTTACAGCTTCAAAATTTACACCTGCAGAAACACAGAACTGCCCATATTGTTGGCTGCCCCGTTCCCTTGAGAAGCAATACTGATACTTCATCCTGACAGACCATTTCAAATGGAAGCTGCCATATTAAAGGAGCTATTATCGCCCCAGACAGTGCAATTAACAGCAGGCCTTTTTCTGTTTTCTGATGGTGCCACCCTTGGCTCTGGCCTATCTCTGCCACCAGAGAGACTCTCACAGTAGGTATGAGAATGGCTACCCCAGAATAGAAAGCCATTCCCTCTCATGCACAATTCCATGCCCTGCAGATGGCATAAATTAAAAATGATGCCACTTGATCCATTGGCTGTCTTCATAGTTCAAGTTTGTTCTGATAGGTATGGGGAAAACTCACTTTTGAAAGAAAACAAAGCAATCATCATAAGGTGGAGGGTTTTCCTTTCAGTTTATGTATTGTGATGGAAGCTTTTCTGTTAGAAAACTCAACATTTCCTCTTCTTTTACTGGGTTTTCAGTTTTATTTGAAAGAGATGTTTATACTCCTACCCTTTTTTAAGCCAAGAGTCTGATGCTCCCTTTAGATTGTCTTCTCAGAATGAATAGCAGTTCTGGAAGCCTACTTGCTAAACAGGACAGGTGTCATATATTACATCATATTTGTTTGGTTTTGGTACTGAAACAAAACCGTAGGTGTAAACCATTGTTTGTGGCTTACCTCCACCACTGAGGCTCATTCACCAAACCATTTAGTTTAATATGAAATGAAAGAATATGGATATGATAAGTGATCTCTCTATTTCTGTGTCCTTCAATGAATCAAATGAAAAAAAAAAAATAATTATCAGTCCCTACCCGTGCCTGAATGTTCAGAAAACAGCATACAGAAAACGCTACACCTTCATGTTTTCTAGAAACTAGCCATTCACCCAGAATCTTATGGAAACCCTGAAAAACCATTTTATTTGAACAAGTTTTTGATGACAGTACTCATGCTAGAGGGATGATGCTACTTTAGTTCTTTTAAGATGTAACTACCTTATCAAATGGATAATTCACCCCACATTGTGCTGTAAACGCACAAAAGAATCATCAACATTTTCACTGAGAAAGAAACCCATTTCATGTCTGCGTCAGACAAATAGCAAGTATTGATGTCCCAAGTTGGGACTTTGTATATAATGGAGGAAGGGATTGGAGGGGCTTTAAACATTTGCCCCCACCGTGATCTCACTCAGTGCCTTCAATTCTCACATGAGGGGGAAAGAAATCTTGCTCCTGGAACAAATGGCCTCGTTGACCTTGCTTGCATGGGGGAATATGTCAATATTCCTTTGTTAAATCTACTGGAACAAAGCTGTTGGCTTTTTGCTAGCTTGTCAGACTGACTTGGAAAATGCATTTAATCTCTTAAAGTTGCCCACATTTAGAGAACAGGACTATAGGGGAAATTGAAACAAAGAAGATACATCAAGAGTGACAACTCTTCCAATCATCATCCTACTGTGGTCTGCAGGTTTCAGATTTTACAGAGTTCCCAAATGCCTGTATCCCTTTTAAGAGGGCAAGGCTGTGCCTTTGGAAGTCTCCCAATATTTCTTGTCCTCTGGATGCCAGCTAAAATAAATGAAGTCTAGAGGAAAGAGGTTTACTTTTTTCCCACCCCAGTCATGTGTCAGCTTTGACAACACAATAATTGCTTTGGCAAAACCACAGACCTAGATCTGAAGCTGGTATCTAAATTATTAACACAATTACTTTACGATCCTACTTAACAAATGTAGCACTGGAGGAAACACACAAACATACAGTACATACCCCAAAAGTCCAATTACCGAAATACTGGGAAATACAAATAATCATTACTGAAAAATAGAAGTACCATAGCATGAATTCTGGAACGTTAGCACTTGATTTCAACATTACAGAAGAACAGGATCCCCACCCATTCTTCTCTTCAGCTATTGGCTGTTCCATGCTGATGAAAAATTCAAGAAGGAACAAAATGCTTGTAAGATAGAGTGGTTGGGATTTTTGTTGAATGGGAAAAGACAAATCATCAGGTCCGGTAGCAGCCAAGCTTTCTTGGCAAATGAATTATTAACCAAGGCTAGAGTATAAGAGAGTATCAAGCCAGTGCATATTAAAATCCTTAGGCAGATCCAGAGGTCTTGAAGTGGCTGAGGAAACAGGATTGTGGACGAAACAGGAAGGAAGGATCAGTGCTGAGATTGAGATTTAGTGAAGAGCTGTCATAAATTGATGCTGCCAACACTACAGCTTGGAGAAACTTCCTGACAGTGAATTATTTTCAGTAAAGTAGCCCTACCTATCCAGTTTGTCAGGATGCCCTTCGAACAGTCACTCATGCCCTTGTTATCTCCCAGATAGACTACTGCAATGCACTCTACATGGGGCTACCCTTGAAAAGTATCCGGAAGCTACAGCTGGTCCAGAATGCAACTGCTTGGGCTATTTTTGGAGCCCCAAGAAGGGCCCATGTAACACCGTTGCTCTGCGAGCTGGTTATCTCCCAGATAGACTACTGCAATGCACTCTACATGGGGCTACCCTTGAAAAGTATCCGGAAGCTACAGCTGGTCCAGAATGCAACTGCTTGGGCTATTTTTGGAGCCCCAAGAAGGGCCCATGTAACACCGTTGCTCTGCGAGCTGCATTGGATACCAGTTTGCTTCTGGATCCAATTCAAGGTGTTGGTTATCACCTTTAAAGCCCTACATGG